CGGAACAGCTGGTAGTTTCGAACTGCTGACCTTAAGGTTTGCAACCGGATTCATAACCACTATGCTACCGGAACTCCTTGGACTCTTTAGTAGAGGTTGGTAAAAGATTATACATATTAAGAAGTTTCCAAGATTATTATACACATTATTATTATTATTATTATTAATCACTAGCAGCACAGTGAAGTGGGTGTTTTGTCCCAGTTTTACAGATAAGGAAACGTAGGCTCAGAGAAGTAAAGTTGCTTGCCTGAGGGCCCCCAGCTTTTGGGTTTCACTACAGGTCTGTGTGGAGTCCTGGTGTGGTGTGATGGGTTAATGCGTTGAACTGCAAAGTCGATTTGAACCTCAAGGTCGGCAGTTCAAGCTCACCAGCCAATCCTTGGAAACCCTATACAGGGTAGCTATGGGTTGGAACCAACTCAACCACACTTAACAACATCAGCAGGTCTATTTAATTTCAAGTTTCAGTTCACTGGGGACCTTTTGTGTTTAAGGTACTGGGGACCAGAGGGGTCCCTGCCCTCTGTTACAGAACAGACACATTTCAGTGAGGGCTGATGGTTGCTGCGTGAGCTCAAGATGAAACTTGATTTGGCAAGGTACTTAAGGGCAGGCTCTGCAGAGGAGGTGTTCATGCTGAGAAGTAAGCCAGATGGAAGAGACTCGGAGAGCCTCCCAGGGGAGAAGAATCAGAGCTGGACTCTGCAGACAAATCCACCCTCAAGAGAATCAAGGACTAAATCTGGGAGGCTGCCTGGAGGAGGGGGAGGGGGTCTCTGGAGTTGGTCTTTACAGGAAGAAGAGTTTTGCTGGAAAGAAAACAGTATTTTTGCCGGAGAGCACAGCATAAAGTCTTGGTGAAAAATTGAGAATTAAATGTCTAGGGCAGCTAGAGGCAAAGGTTGGACAGACAAGGGTCACAGCACATGCAAAGGCCCCTGAGGTGGGAGCAGGCCTGGTGTGGTCAAGAGAGAGCAGGGGTGGAGTGGGGAGGGTGGCTGTGTGGTTGGTGCAGAGTGAGCGAGACAGAGAGAGAAGTAGGTGAGGTCAAGAATGAAGTGGGTGGGGAAGGGGCCTTGATAATGCAGCGTGGGACTAATTCTGAGAAATCTTGGGGGGCATGATGTGGCGGCAACCAACCAGCAGAGGGCACCTTGTCTTCACAAAGACGGTGCCTGGCTGTTCTCCATTAAAGCGTCTGCGCTCTCCCCGCCCACCTAGTGGGGTATGAGTGGTGGATTAATTCCCGTCGACAGAGGTGAAAACTGAGGCTTGCTTGGATGTCAACTCTAGAAAGATCTGCACCATGAGTGGTAGGACATAACAAGTTCTCCAGGTTCAGGGGTCCCAGAGAGCACAGGGTAGGCATGTTCAGGTGCAGGGATGAAGGAGGTCTTCCTGAGATGTTCAGAATTCCCAGAACACCCCACTAGAGGGATTCCCCACTCTGTTTTTTCAGTTTGTTGCTGACTTTGTTGATTTATTTGCTTGTTTGACAGCGGGGGAGACTCTTGGATGAAAAGGGCCAGCCCTCCGCGAGCTGAGTTCATGGGTATCCATTACTATGATGCCTATTTTGCAGAACTTGAAGAAGGGAAGAAAAGCAATAACATGGATCAGTGGGGCAGGGTGTCCAGATGTCCAGAGGCCCAGAGCTGGGAGGGCTCCCAGGAGTGGGTGAGTGGGGTCAGAGTCTAGGGGGGGAGGGGCACACTCTTTGGACAGGCTGCTTGGATCCCGCGCTCCTTTCTTGCCTTGGCAGGAGGCTGGTTTTAGATCCTTGGCTACAGTTCCTTTTTTCCAAGAAGGGTGAGGCAGTATATGGGAAGCAGCCAGGGGGGTTATTTATAGAGGTCACAGGAAATCCCCAAAGAGTCAGAGCCTCACCCAGCGGCTGGAGCTAAGAGCCAGGGAGTAGGTTGGTCGGTCAATTGCTCCCTTTTTGATGCTCAAACCCCACCTGGCCCCCAATAAACTTCCCCAGAGCTGGACTCAAGCACCTCCTTGCCCGAAGCAGAGAGCAAGGGCTAAACCTGGGAGAAAATCTGGAAAATGGAACTCTGGAGTTGGGCTTTGTAGGAAAAAGAGGAATTTTCTAGGCAAGGAAAGGGTCTACTGTATTTTAATCAGAGAGCACATCATAGATAAATGCTCAGTGAATCTTTATTATCAGACAATTAAATGTCCAGGACATCTACAGGCAAAAAGGTTGGCCTACATAGTGGCACAAAAGGGACATTCTCTTACAGACAATAGGGAGCCATGGAGTGTATGTGAGCAAGTGGCACCTGAGGTCCAGGTGAGGAGAGCTGAGCCAATCATGGGGCCAGCAGGATGGATGATACCCTGAAATGTTCTAGGTGGCAGAGACTGAAGAAATAAATGTTACAGACCTGTGCCTGTTTGTCCTGAGAGTTTAGAATTATTATGCCCATTTCTCAAGTGAGGAAATGGAGTCATGATTGAAGCTTAGGAATTTCTGGTCTGGGAACCCCAAATCAGGTTTCTGTGGTAAATGGGACTGGTTAATGTCAGCATCCCCCTGCCTCGGAGCTTCCAGGGCAGTAGGCTCAGAGTCAGGGATGTCCCAGCTTCCTTGGGACAGTGGGCCGGCCAGTCTGGGTGGCTGACCTGGCTGGCTGGCTGGCCTGGCAGAGCCCCAGCAGAGTGCTTCCTGCAGCGGCTGACTCTCACCCGCGCTTCCGCATCCAGGAAATATCGCTCCTTTGTCCCTGCAGACTGGCCTGTCCTAAGCGTGGCGCTGCCAGCCCCCGTTCCTCCTGATTCACCCACTCCCTGTGCAGGTCCCAGGGGATAGACTAAGGGGAAGTCAGGGTCGTTCCTCCTGATTCACCCACTCCCTGTGCAGGTCCCAGGGGATAGACTAAGGGGAAGTCAGGGTCGGGGGTAACTCCATCTCAGACAAGCTGAGATTCTAGACCACAGTTTTAAAGCAATTTTTCCATGGATAGCCGTTTGCTTTACTTCCTGAGGCTTTAGTTTTTAGTTACAGGCAGGGATAGTCATTCTTACATTCTGAAGCTTTTATTTCTCCATGATGGGGTTTCTGAGTCAAAGAGTTTGTAAAGTTTTACTTTGAGTAAATATTGAATAATTTCCAGAAAGACCACGATGGGCTCTCTGTTTCTAGCAGTCCTGCCAGAAAACATCCTTTCTTTGCAACTTCACCTGCAGTAGGTGTTAGAGCTTTTTACAATCCTCCCACCCCCAGTCAGCTGTGTGCAGTGTGATTTTCTATGTTCCTTCAATTGGTTTTCCCTTGAGTACTGACTAATTTATGAGGTAGTGGTAGTTACATACTAGAAGGCTTGCATCTTATGTGGGTGACCCGGGGTTTGATTCCTGGCCAGTACTTCTCATGCACGGTGACCACGTGTCCGTCAGTGAAGGCTCGCATGTTGTATGACGCTAAACAGATTTCTATACCAAGACCAACTACGGTGAAAGAAAGGTCTGGCAATCTGCTTCTGGAAACCAATGGATCGAAACCAATCATGGGGATGGCATAGGAATGACCAGTGTTTTTGTTCTGTTGTACACGGGGGTACCGTACCCGAGTTAGCACTGGGTAATTTAGGGATGTAAGTGGGAAGGGCCCAAGACTGCACAACCTACCTCTGTCTTTTCTTGCTGCCCAAACAAAACAAAGGGACTTTTGTGGTAATGCTCCTGGAATCATTTTGTGGACATAGAGTTCCTGCAAGTCTCTGTAGGTTGCAGTACGTCTGCAGTCATGTGGGACCTCTGGAAAAATCTTTGCAACCCCAGCAAAACCAAAGCTGCAGATTGCTTTCAGATGGAAACCTGCTTTTGAAAAGAGTTCCTCAATTTACTGGTAGTCAGCACTGTCCCAAAGGCCTTTCATGAAATGCTGATTGGCTGTGATTTGGGCAGTGAAGGATCTTGGGGGATCCTGGTGTTTCCCCCATGTTTACTCTTGGTGAGAACTCTAGAAGCCTGGGAAAGTTGAAAGGGAATTTCAGCCAGTTCTCATTTTTCTAGTGTTTTTGTGACTCACAAACACTAGTTGTTAAGTGCCACCAAGTCAGTTCTGACTTATAGTGACCCTGTATAGGGTCTCCAAGAAGCAGCTGGTGGGTTTAAAGCACTGACCTTGTGGTCAGCAGTCCAGTGCTTATCCTACAGCGCCTCACCAGGACTCCCACAATTACTTGGTCTGTTTTCAAAGGTGAATCAGGGTTCTGAAGTCATTGAAGGGATTGTCGTTGTTGTTGTCAAGTGCCGTGGTGGAGTCAGTTCCGACCAATAGCAATTCTGTATAAGGTTTCCGAGGAGCAGCTGGTCAGTTTGAGGTTCAAACTGCCTCAAACTGCCTTTTCAGCCCAGCGCATTAACCCACAGCGCCACACCAGGACTCTGAAGGGATTGCTACCATTTATTTATTAAATGCTGATTTATATGTGGGGGGGGGGGAAGGGCAAGGGGTGATACGGGCAGGTTCGTTCCCTGGGGCATTTGGGTTTCCCCCACCTCTAGACTCCTGTGGGGCTTGACAACCCTCAAGCAGGGAAGGCGGTGAATGTTTTACTGGATTTATACCCCAGCCCTCGAAAGTGAGGAAGCTTGCAGAGACAGGGCAGCAGGAGGTGGGGTAGAGTAGGGGGTGTACAGAGAGGGACTGGGGAGCTGGGGAAGGGGCTTGGCTCTATGCATGGGGAAGTGACATTGGATGAAACGTAACTGTGCAGCAGTGTGACGCTGCCGCTGCCTGTGAGTGATGTCATTGCTGTGTCGTGGCTGACTTTGTCACTGTGTCTGTGTGTGGTGTTGCCGAATGTGATGCCGTCACCACATGCAGTGTTCTCATGTCTGTGTGTGGCATTGTCACTGCATGTGATGTCAGGATGATTGTGTGTAATGTAGTCACCGTGTCTGTGGGTGACATCATTTGTGGTGAAGGATTGTGTGGCGTGGCGTGGAACTGTGAACCAGCACTGGCGTGTCGATGGGGGTGATGAGGACTTGGTGCAGCATGTGGGGAACTTGTTGACCAGCGGCCTGGGCTCAGGGACAATGGGAGGGCTGTGTGGGCGCTGTGAACATCTTGCTGCACCGTCAAGTCCTTGAGGCCTGGAGTCTCCTCAGCCACTGGAGCAGGAAGTGGGGTGGAAACAAATATACAGTAATTGTTCAAACAGACAGACAGATGAACGGACAGACCTTGCCAGCCTGGATACTCATTTTCAGGGGCAAGACGTCCTGATAAACCTGCCTTGTTCCTTCTGCTCCCAAGGACCCCTAGCTTACTTTGGGGTTTAGACTCTTCCTTCAATTTCCAATCCTTGAGCCTCCCCAGACTTTATGTTCCTCTGCATTGTGTAGAAGAAGACGCCCTTGTGTGCTCCAAGCACCTGCTGTAGACTGGCTCTCCTAAAACTCTCCAAAAAACCTGGAGATCCTGGGAGTTTTCCCAATAGTCCTTAGTTCTCCCCTCCCCCATCCCCCACTGCCCCACTGGGCCCTGAGGCTAGGACTCAGTTGCCCTCTTTTGTCTGTACAGTGCCTTACTCAATTCCAGGATAATTTTTTCTAATGAGCCTGGCCCTGCTCACATACCCACCATGGCTCCCCAGTGTCCTCAGGAAAAAAACCTGAATCTCTGGACCTGGCATTCAGGGCTCCTCCTGCTCTGATCCTGCTTGGCCACCCCCTTAGGGACTCAAAACCCTGCCAAAGTCCCAAACTGTGAAAGATTCCAAGATTTCCTCTCACGACTTCCAGCTCATTGCTGCTGTCTGCAGAGAGCCCTTCCCCCTCGTAGGCCTGGCAGAGGTTCCTGTGAGGGGTCAGGGGTTGGCAGGAGGCTGTTTCCTGGTGGGGAAAGGAGGGAGCGGTGGCCAAGTCCTGCTTCCGCTGGCCCCCTCCCTTCCTTCCCTGGCTCTTCCCTGGGGCCCCAGGGCCTCACGTTCCTTGGCTGGGTCTATCCCCCTCCCTGGCTCCACCTCCCCCACCAACCAAGTTTCTCCTTTCTTGGAGCTAGGGTTGCATTCCCACCCTTCTGCCTGTAAGAAAAGGTGGTCTTCATGTTTCAGACAAGCAGAATGGGGCTTTGAAGCTCCTAACATCACCAGCATGGTTACTTCTGCCCTGGTCCTTCAGTGGCCATCGCTCCTACCCCCGACAATCTGTTCTTTCCTCTTCTCACAGCCCTCCTTGTTGTTCCTGTTAAGTGCTATTGAGTTGGTTCCGATTCATATTGACCCTGTATATTCAAACTGACCTCAAGGTTTAGTGCTTATCCTATAACGCCACACCAGGACTCCCTGATGGTGGTGGTGTTCTGACTCAGAGTGACCCTACATAGGGTTTCCAAGACTGTAAATCTTTATGGGAGCACAGAGCCTTATCTTTTCCCCATGGAATGGCTGGTAGCTTCAAACTGCTGACCTTGAGGTTAGCAGCCTGACTACACTACCAGGACTCCCTAGGTTTCCAAATTACCCCCAGTGGCCACCAGGCCCTGCTTACCCTGCCCTGTCACCTCCTGACCTCACTTCCTGGGATTGCTCCATTCTAGCCATGCCCATGTCCTCACTCAAACTCACCAGGCATGCCCCTACCCCAGGACTTTTGCACGGGCTGTGTCCTCTGCCTGGTGTGCCCTTCCTGGGAGTCCTCCATGGCTCCTCCCTCAGCTCCTTCAGCCCTTTGTTTGAACAGTGTCACCTTCTGGTGAAGTTCCTTCCTCCTGACCCCCATTCAAGACTCCAGCTTCCTCATGCCCCTTCATCCTTTTCCCATCTCACCCATCACCAAACCCAAAAAATACCTCCAAACCAAAGCTGTCATCATCACGTTGATTCCAACTCATGACAACCCCATGTGCTTCAGAGTGGAATTGTGCTCCCCAGAGTTTTCTTAACTGTAATACTCTGGATTACACACAATACATGGTGGCTCCATACAATAAGGCTGGGAACCACAAGGTCTGCGGTTCGAGCCCACCAGCTGCTCTGTGGTAGAAAGATGAAGTGTTCTGCTCCCGCAGACTGAACAGCCTCGGAAACCTTATACTGGGTTGCTATGAGTTGGAACCGACTTGATGGCATTTAACAACAATCCTATGGAAGCAGATGGCCATACCCTTTTTCCAAAGTGTCCCTGCATAGATTTGAACTGCAAACCTTAAGTACAAACTGCTTGCGCCACCTGGGGACTTCATCTATTAGCAAGGGGCTGTATAATCAAGGGGCTCTTTCATCTGGTCTACCATTCACTTTCCCCTCTCCACTGTGAGAACCTTACAGGGATGGAGTCTGCGCCTTGTCCCACCCTGTGTCCCCAGCGTCCAGTACTATGTCCAGGATACAGTGCTGCTCCCTAATGCCATCAAGTCAGCTCCAACTCAGATGTCAAGAGTAGACCTGAAATCCACAGGGTTTTCAGTGACTGATTTTTTTGGGAAATACATCACCAGACCTTTTTCCCAAGGTATGTCTGAGTGGACTTCAACCTCCAACTGTTCTCAGTCAGGAAGTGAGTACATTCATTGTTTGTATAACCCAGGGACCAGCTGTTGTTCTTAGGTACCGTCGAGTCAGTTCCAACACATAGCGATCCTATGCACAATAGAATGAAACACTGCCCAGTCTTGTGCCATCCTCACGATTGATATAGGTTAAACAATAAACCCATAACGAACTTCATTCATAAACCCAAGAATCCTAGTCGTCATGAACTTGATCCCTGCTCAGAGCCAGCAAAAGCTGAATTCACATCTTTAGTCTCCCAGGACCCTCCCTGGTGATGTTTGCTATCTCCTTCCACATAGCCTGGTACCAATATTTACAGGCAGGTTTGAATTACAAAAGAGCTCTATTCTTAAATCTATCTTTAAGTCAAATTTGTATGTAAATTGGAGTAGTTAGATATGGTTTGTATCTGACATCAGTTAGTCAAATGTTTGTGTTAGTATATAGTATATAGGGTTCCTTTCTATGCATAAAAACATTAAAGGAAGACTTCCAGATATAGAAAACATCTTTAACATAATCATATAGTAATAATAACCTTTTGATGTGCTTGCCATAAAACAATTTCCATTTGTTATGACAAACTATCATATCTACCTTAAATTTTTCATAAGATAAGCTTTCAGGATTGGATTGTAAAGATCAAGTCACAGCTTTATAAGTTTGTAACCCAGCGACTGCTTGTATTTATTACTACCTTTAGATTAATGGTCTTTTTGAACTGAAACAAATTTCTCTCCAAAAGATTCTCAGCCTCATCCAGTTCAGGAACACTGGTGTGCTTGCCATCAAGAGCAAATATCTTTTAAATGTTCAATAAACAAGACTTTGTCCTAGAGTCAGGCTGAGGACTGAGCCTGGGGCTGCTCTTGCTTTGCAAACACAAGAGATTTGCAAAAATCTAGGGAGATTTAAGGTGAGCCAGCACTAACAGATTTTCTTGAAGCCCAGAAATCAGAAAAGCAATGAGCTCTGCAATGCCTGGGGCAAGGCTATTGGTACTGGACCTTCAACCGGCCCCTAATTGTTGGTGGTGGTGGTGTTAAGTGCCATTGAGTCAGTTCCACCTCATAGAGATCCTGTATAGGATTTCTGAGCAGCAGCTAGTGGGTTTCAACTGCCAACCTCATGGTTAGCCATCCAGTGCTTATCCTACAGCACCACATTGGTAATTGGGATTCTAAATACAGCTCAGCAGCCTAGCAAGTGACTGGCTGAGCCAGAACTTGATCCCGGAATCTACACATGTTCCCTGGGTGGCAGGTAGTGGCTTAGTGGGTCAGAGGCCCTTCCTGCGACCCTGCAAAGAAAGCTAGGTGGGGCCCAGGCCTGAGTGGGCATTGTTTTCTTATCAGGGGGACGTCATTTGGGGTAAACAATGTCAAGTGTTTTCCTGGTTCTCAGCTAGAGCTGGGACAGGCCTGGGCTAGGAGCCCGGTCCATTTCATCGCTACCACCTCATGACCCTGGACAGGCCACTTTCCTGGAGCCTCAGTTTCCTCCTCTGAGAAATGGGGATAATAATAGAACCTCCTTCCTATAAAGCTGTGAGGGCTTTGAGCCAAGATGGAGAGAGAAAAGTCATGATTGTTTATAGTAGGGTCTTTTCCGGGCCCTCTCACTTCCCTTCCTGTGGGTGTTCTTTGAGCAGAGCCATTAGTCCTGGTATGGCATTGTGAATAAATGCACCGGACTGAAAAATTGGTTTCAATCGCAAGGTCAATGGTTCAAGCTCACCAGCCATTCCTTGGAAACCCTATACAGGGTCGCTATGGGTTGGAACTGATTTGACAACACTTAACAACAACAACAACAACAACAATCAGAATTGGGGAGTCCTGGTGTGGCGCTGTGGGATAAAGCGTAGGAATGAGAGGTTGATTTGAACCACAAGGTCAGCAGTTCAAACGCACCAGCCGCTCCTTGGAAACCTATACAGGGTCGCTATGAGTCAGAACAGACTTAATGGCACTTAACAACATTCAGAATTAGAGGACAGTTATGTAAGAAGGTGAACTCCCCAACACAGGGGGTATGTAAGAGGAAGTGTGGTGGAGCTGGACATGGAGCCCCTCAGAGAGCTGGTGGACAGTTCTATAAGGGAGTGAGCTCCCCATCTTAGGAGTATGTAAGAAGCAACATGTTGGAGCCGGGCATGCAGCCCCCTGGGAAGTTGACAGCAAAGCCTTTGGAAGTCTGTTTGGCCCAAGACCTGCATTTGCCTCCCTTCACCCCGTGGCTGCAACAGACCCAGGATGACAATAATCTGGAAGCGAAATGACGGAAGGTATGAGACCCGAGGGATCTGACTTAAATTTCAGCACCTCCTTGAGCTTTGGATGCTAACCTGAAGTGGGGGGGCTGTCCCTGGCCCCTGTCAGCAGTGACATCCCAAACAACAGCAGCCACCACCCTAGAGGAGCACAGGGTGTTCTCAGGGTGTCAGTCTGAGTCACCTTCCCTGTGACGCACAGGCTGTCCCTGATGCACAGCTGGCCTTAGGTTAGGATGAGGGACACAGGCACCGGGCCATGGCTTGAGCATGTTCCAGGAGCCCTTGGTACAGTCTGCTGAGGCCTTGCTGTTTACAGTTGGCAAAGCATTTCCATACCCTGGCCTCAGGTGGAAACAGAGGAGCAGAGGGCAGGGGGAGAGGCCCAGAGGCATTCTTGAGCATTTTTCCCTCTGCTCTAGTCACATGTACTTCTTTCTGGTTTTCAAACCTTCCCCACCCCAGCACAGCCTCAGGGCCTTTGCACATGCTGTTTCTGCTGCCCAGAACACTGTTCCTTCCTTTAGTCTCCAGCTTCAGGGCCCCTCTTGCCTGGCTGGGCTCTTGACTGTGTTATTGGGGCCCCTGTTACATCAATGAGCCGAAGCTGGCCTCTGTATCAGCCCCAGGTTGTTGACTTCTGCATAGCAAGCACTTAACAACAACAAGAAAATTGTGCCCCATATTCACTGGCCCTAGATAAAATAAAATCCTGTAGGTATAAAGCTACTACAGTGGTGAATCAGTGGTAGAATTCTCGCCATCCATTCAGGAGACCCAGTTCGATTTCTGGTCAATGTGCCTCATGCAAGCAGCACCAACCACCTGCTTGTCCGTGGAAGCTTGCGTAGTGCCATGATACTGAACTGGTGTCCACAGAGCTTCCAGATTAAGATGGGATAGGAAGAAAGGTCTGGCAATCTACTTCTAAGCATCAGCCAATGGAAGCCCTATGGATCACAAAGGTCCATAACCGATCATGACCCATAGCAGCAGTTTGCTCCATTGGGCATGAGATTAAGGCCAACTCAGCTTACAACAGCATTAACAGGTACTGCTGCCTTCAGAGTTCTGACCCAGAGGCGCCCTGTCTTGTTGCAGAAGGACATCACCCAGGCACTCAGAAACCCCCCTATCCCTTCTCCTCCCTGTACCACTTGCATCTGGCAGACCTCCCGCTGCAGGTGCTATTCTGTGAATGGGACTGCCAATGTGTCAGCCCCAATAAATAGTAATGCTGCTATCTTGTGGTCCTATCTTTTTCTTTGATCAGCCCCTAAGCTCCCTGAACCCACTACAGGCATGCTGCACACCTCTGTGCCTCAGTTTTTCCAGATGGAAAGTAGCTCCCTACTGCCTATTAGACTTATGATGATTAAATGAGTTAATCATGCAAAGTACTTAGAAGTGTCTGGAGCTTACAGTAAAGCACCTCATCATTGTGGACTCTCGGTCAGTCTTGTCATCCTGATTTGTTCACTTCTGTCTTGCCCATTACTCTGGGAGTTTTGTGAGGATGGAACCTAATGTGTCTTGGTTGCTTCTGTGTCCCTGGACCCAACACAGAGTCGGGCATATAGCAGGTACTCAATTAGGGAGACAGTAAGTGTGAGCCGAGCCTCCTCCATCCCTAGCCCCAAGCCCCGGCCTGGTCTGCAGCCCTAGGCTGCCTAGTACCTAACCTGGGTGGGACTGCCACGTTGCTTCCAGGGGGTCGCTGGGATGCCAGGATCTTCTTCTTGAATTCCTCCAGGCTAGCGGGGTCTGTGGAGTGGGGGAAGCATCAGCCTTGGCTGGGCAATGTTCTGGCAACCCAGGATATTGGGGTTGGGGTAGGGCTGGGGTGACAGACTTCCCTCCCTTCGCCTCTAGCCTCTGTCACTCACCGATGATCTGGGAGTTGGAGGCAGGGGCAATGTGTTTTGGCAAGTTCCAGGAAATCGGTGGTTGCGACTGTGGGAAGAAGGGTGGAGGGAGTTGTCAGGAGTAGGGGGCCAGGAGAGCCCAGCCTTCCACGCCTGAGTTCTTCCCAAGCAGAGCCACACACTCATGGGGAAGAAAAATCAACAATGCCAGTCTTCTAATTAGCTGCACCGACCAGGAGCTCTCTCTCAGATTGCTTGGCAATCTCAGCAGCTTCAGAGATCCCACTCTGTTTTAACCCAACCCCAAACCACAACTCCAGTGGCGTCAACCCACCCAACCTGGCCCTCTGAGACTGAAGCCAACCTACTCTAAAACCATCTCCACTCTGATCCTCAATACCACCCCCCCCCCACAAAACCCTGAGCTGAATCCCTCCACTCAAACATTCTAGTCAATTTTGAACCCAATCATAGTCCTAAAATCCGATCTCAACTTAAAAATGAAACTTCCCTTAGAATTAAGCTCGACCCTCAACTCAATCCCAATCACTAACCTGGCCTGATCATATCTTTAGATCTAACACCAGCCCCAAGAATATCCCCTGGACTCATCCAGTAATGAAAAGTCTCATCCCCCAATTTATCCCCCCAGTCCTAGCTCTGGATTGTACCCTACCCACTTAAAGACAGCCTCCCAACATCTCATTCAATGTCAGCATTTTATACCATAGCTTCTACCTGAAATTTAACCCCAATCCAGTCTCCACCCTAAACCCATGCTCAGTTCCAACACAATCTTCAGATTCACCCAAGTCCTAAAGTCAGTGCTCCATGAAGCCCCAGTCTTAGCCACCTAGAATGGCATTTGGTTCTGGGTGGGAGCTGGTTGGGTGACACCATGAGTTACTGTACTGGGTAACCCCAATCCTATTGATACCACTGTCCAACTCCCCCAGAACCTTCAAGACAAATCTCAACTCTGTCTTCATCCCCAAGCCCAACCTCAACCCTGAATGAATCCCTAACCCTATGCCAATTTGAGGATTATCAACCATCTTAAACTCAACCCCTTTTCTTCATTCTCAATTAGGTTTCTAATAACAAGTTCCACCCCAATTCTAATCCCAGCAGGAAATCCTAAATGAACACATTACTGTAACCCTAAAGCCACTCTAGATTCAACAGTTACTCTAGACACAATTCTAAATCCACCTTCAATGCCTCAACTCAACCCAACCCCAAAGAAGCCCCAAATCACACATTTATTCCTCCACCCAACTCTAGACCCAGTAGCCACCCGACCTTCAACTCTAGTCTTAATCCTACACAAATCCATGTTCAATGTTAATCCTAATGCCAATGACACCCTCACATACTCCTAATTAACCCAACATAGACACAGAAGTCAACCTCAAACCCAGCTCCAAATCCAAGTTCAACATCACTACCTTGGGCCTCCAGACTCAACCCAACACAATCCGCCGATTCTGGGACCACCAGCTCACCTTGGCCTTGATGCAGGTGTCCAGGGCTGAGTTGCCGATAGCTAACTGCATCCTGAACTGTTCCACCTCCTTCTTCTTCTCCTCTAGCTCCTTGATCAGGCTGTCTCGTTCCTTCCGCAGTGCCGCCTTCTCCTCCAGAGCGAGCTGGGTCTGCCGAGCACAGTCGGCTTGGAGTTTGGCCTCCCGAGCTTGGGCCTCCTTCTCCACTTTAGCCTTGGCTTCCTGGATGCTTTGCAGGCTAAGCTCGGCCTGTAGCTTCTGCTGCTGGAGGTCCGCGTTCTCTCGGGTCACGCGCTCAATGTCTACTCGCAGACTGTGGGCCAGCTCCGCCACCTTCGTGCTCATGAGGGTGGGCATGTGGTCGCAGCTTCTGCGGATGGAGGCTACCTCTGCACTGATGGGATGGTAGGGGCTGTAACCTAGGGTGTCCAGGGTGCGTGGGATTATGGAATCCCTCCAGAGGTTGCGCAGGTCTATCTCAAACTTTTCCTTGTTGAACACCAGGCAGAGGGCTTCCACCTTTCGCAGCCGCTCTTCGGAAATGCGCCGTTCCTGCTCCACCCGTGCCTGGGCCTTCCCGCACTCGGCTAGCTGCTCCTCTACCACCCGCTTGCTCAACACCAGGGCCTCCTTGTCTTTGATGCACACAGTTTTCTCCTTTTGCAGTTCCGCCTCCAGCGTCTTGGCCTTCTGGCCAAGCATGAGGAGCAAAGCTAAGGACACAGGAGTTTCAGACTCAGGAAGATTTGGGGTTTGGGAGTCCACCATCCCAGGTCCTGAATGCCCACCCTACTCACCGTTGCAGCTCTTGTTGGTCTCCTTGAGATTCTCCTGGCATTGCTGCTCACTCAAGATGATAGCGGCCATGTATCGCTGGTTGTTCAGGTAGATGGTCTGTGAGGATGGAGAGGGTAGCATGGAGGTCAGTGACCAGCCACTGTGGGCTCCCCCTCCCGGGACTACCCAGAGACTTAGGGCTGGAGTACTACAGTGAGCACCCACGTGGCTGGTTAGGTCTGGTCTTTCTTATGGGTTGGATGGTGGTGTTCCCCGAAATGGTATGCTGAACTTCTAACCTCTGCATTGGTGAATGTGACCTTGTTTGGAAATCGAGTTTTTCTTTGCAGATGCTATTAGGTAAATTAATTGTCCTATCAGAGTAGTTTGTTACTGTCAGGTCAGTTTTGACTCTTGGTGACCCCATGTGTGTAGGGTAGCACTGCTCCATAGGGTTTTCTAGGCTGTGACCTTTTGGAAGCAGATCTCTAGGCCTTACCTCTGAGGTACTTCTGGGTGGGTTTGAACTGCTAATCTTTTGGTTAGTAGTCCAATACTTAACCAGGGACTCATAACAGATTAGGGTGGGTTCTAATCCTAATCCTTTCTGAGTGGTGAATAATCATAGTTCAGACAGAGAAATAGAGATGCAATCACACAAAGATGGGGAGACAAACACCACGTAATGATGCATCTAAAGGCCAGGGAATGCCAAGAAGGAGATAAAGATAAAGAGGGACCCTCCCCACACAGATCAGTCCAGAAAGAATGCAACCCTGCCAACGTCCTGATATCAGACAAACTGTAAATCAAATAAATTTTTGCTCTCTAACATCAACCCTTCAAAACATCCAAACCAGTTGTCATTGACTTGCTTCTGACTCCTGGTGAGCCCATGTGTGTCAGAGTAGACCTGTGCACTGTAGGTTTTCATTGGCTGAGTTTTCAGAAGTAATTTTTCAGACTTTTTCCCCCCAAAGTGTCTCTGGGTAGACTCAAACCTCCAACTTTTGGGTTAGCAGCCCAACGCACTATCTGTTTATGCCAACCAGGAATTCCTAAGATCACTCACTTTGTGGTATTTTGTAACTGCAGCCCTGAAAAATGAAGACAGTCTTCAAAAGTTTTTGCATGAATACTATTCAGCAATGAAAAGGAATGACCTACCAATACATGCTATAACATGGATGAACTTCAAAAACATTGTATCCACATTTGAGGTCAACTGATTTTCAACAAAGGCACCAAGACAATTCAATGGAAGAATCATCTCTTTAACAAATGGTTCAGCTACAACTGGAGCACCACATGCAACAGACAGAAGTTGGACCCTTACTATACACCATACCAGGTTAAATAAAAAAGTATTGTTACAAAATTATAGAAGCCTTTATTAAACAAAAGAATCAATTGTGAAGCTATTGTTTCTAAACATATCCTCTATCTAGGTCTTTACACTCCTAAGGGTAATGTTTCCAGTTCTTTAAACTTTTTCCTGAGGAGCTTTGGTAATGTAGTGGTTACGAGTTGGGCTGCTAATCTCAGCATTTCAAAACTACCAGCTGTTCTGCGGGAGAAAGATGAGACTTTCTGCTCCCATAAAGATTTGTAGCCTCGGTTGGTCCAAAGTATGGTGAGACCTGGGGACTCCTGAACCCATGGACAAGGACATAGCCACAGAGGGCTAGAACTGCTAGTGAAGTGTCCAGCTGATACGAAGTGAAGGGAGACTCACAAGAGTACCTAAACTTGCAGATAGTACCCATTTGACCAGCTTCAATGGCTTGATGACCAGAACTCGACTAGAGGAAGATAAAAAAATGCCGAAAAACGAAACAAGTGTAAATTGCTACAATTTGAGAAACTTAATCTATACTTATGGATGTAGTAGTGCAAAATACCAATTGAGAGGGAAGGAATCTTCACATCAAGAATCAATCCTATCCCCTCTGTACACAGGGTTGATAGGGATGGGCAATTTAGACAGTGGCTACCTAAAATTGGGGTGGGGGGCAATAAAGGTATGAAATGACTGGCTTATGAGTTTTCAGGACGGAGCTTAGTTTCAGAGTGTGCAGGGGAAGGTGGAACCCTCAATGAATAATTTTCATCTTGTCTAGAGATGGGTCTGATGAAAGGAGATGGGGAGAAGATTTTTTTTTCTTCCAGAATTAGAATTTTATTGGATAGAAATTAAAATAATGACAGCACCACAGAAGAAATTGATACTCTATTATTGGTTTCAAGAAAATTACATGGGAAAGAGAGTTACCATTTTGAGAGCATCAGGATTGCCTACTCTTTCTCTTATCCTCTAAAGAGATCTGACTAGAGTGTGTATTATGACACAAGAAGCAATTCAAATAATCTAATATCAATACTTCCTATATTGTGTATTTCTTCAAGAGTGTCCACTCTGAACTCCTAACTCTGTAGTTTATTCAAGCCTTATTTTGGTGATGTTTTTGATAGCTTTTTTTTTTTCAGCTTACTGAATTTGCTCATTATTCCTCAACCCCCATTCTGGTCTATTCTATTATAGTTGAACATGCTTACTTTGCCCTGCTTTGGGCTTAGCAAACAGACAGCTCCTGTAATAGGTAGTCAGTGTATAAATTTGCTTCTACTAAAGGTATGTTTTCAAACTAGAAGCCCAAGGAAAAGGCTGAGAGAATTACGTATCACTGAGCTATAAGGTTACCTGATGCTTGGGACCTGCATTCCTGTGAAATGGGTCATTATCTATCTATCTATCTATCTATCTATCTAT